CACACACACACACACACACACACACACACACACACACACACACACACACACACACACACACACACACACACACACGCACACACACACACACAAACAAAATCAGATTTAGGTATTTTTGTTGTTTCCTCTTTCTCTTATTTTTTCTAAGTACTTTTTGTGCCTCTAGCCGAGCACCCTCTAGTAGTGCCAAACAGTCGGTGGTCCCTTATTCGGAGTGCCAACTGCACTCTTAGGGGGGCTGCTCGGTTCGGGGTGTCTGTGTTGCCTGTAGGTGATGACAGGTGCTCGTCGGAGTGACTCCCTCACTCAGTGGGTGGTGGGAACCAACAGTCTACGGGGTTCAATCGTGATGTGAGTAGGTCATGTGCTGCTTTGCTCCGTGTTGGATGTGTGGACGTCCTCGTCTGCGCTCCACCGTTGCCCTGCTGCCTGTCCCGCTTGCGTTGCATGTGGTTCTTTGCAGGTTGATGTCTTCGCTGTGCGGTGTGGCCGTGTTGTTGGTGTTGCCTTGCGCTTCGCTGCTCCGCTGCCTTGCTGCTCATCCGCTGGTCGTGCCTTCCGTGTTGCTTGTGTGCCCTGTAGGTTGGTTTCCTTGTTGCTGGTGCCCTGTGCTCCGCTCCATGGTTGCCGAGCTGCTGGTCCGCTCGCCCTGTCGTCTCCTGCAGTGTTGTTGCCTTGCTTGTGTTGTCTTGTGCTTCACTACACGGTTGCCGCGCTGCACGCCCTGCGTGCCATGTCGTTCCTTGCAGTCGTTTTTGGTGTTGTGCAGCCTTGTTGCCTCTACTGTATTGCCTGGTGCTTCACAGGGTTGCTGCTCGCTGCTATGTTCCGTTTGGGGACAGTCTGCCTTCAACAAGGGTCAAAGGGTTCATGACCCAAACCATCAAATACGGAGATTCCGCAGATTGTCGAGGGTTCAGCCTCCTGATGAGTCGGTGCAACTCCGACGAAACATTCTGTCATCATCAGTTTTTATTTTTGTCGCTCTCTTCTTTTTCAACTTGGCACTCTATGCCTCTTCCCTTGTTGTCTTGTGCTGCCTGTCTGCCCACCCGCCTTCCCCATGTCATCCACCCTTCGTGCAATTGGTCATTGTCTAATCATCTCTAATGCCTTGTGCTTGTTGTCATTCGCTTCGTGTCTTGCCTTTGTGGTCTTCGTATGACATTCCATGGGTATCTGCGACGAACGCAGGAGAACACCTGGTGCTGGCTACTATGCCATTGATGATGATGGCTTTGCCATCAATCCTACCTTTTCTCCCCCCTTCTCTTCCCTTCTTCGCTATCCATCTCACGTGTTCTTTCTTCGAGGGACCCGCTATATTCCTTTGGTCTTGTCTGTATGGATTGCTGGTTTGTGGCATTAGTCAATCCTACGGATGGGTAGTGCAGTGCAAGCAGCATGTGAATGGATCTATGTGGAGGTTCCCGTGTTTTCGGGTTGCTATGGTTGCTAATGCATTTTTCACACACACACACACACACACACACACACGAGGGATTGTTATTATAAAGGCTACATTCATCGTCCTGCAGAGAGGCATGGTCGCACCGTGCAATGGCCCGACATGGTCCTGCACTGAGGCGGGTCCAACTGTGCATTGAGGCAGGTCGTAATGGGCAATGGTCCTGCATTGAGGCGGGTCCTACTATACATTGGTCCTGCATTGAGGCGGGTCCTACTGCACAATGGTCCTACATTGAGGTGGGTCCTACTGTACAATGGTCCTACATTGAGGAGGGTCCTATCGTGCAATGGTTTTGAATTGAGGCGGGTCGTACTGTGCGATGGTGCAAGATGGTTGAGCATCGAGCCGGGTCCCATCATTCCATCGCATCGAGCCTTCATCCCGGGCACTGTCGTGCAATTAAACGGCACAACATCCTGACCTTACGTCGCATTGGCAAAGCCCTTCACCCCGCGCATCGCCATGCAATGACCCCAACACGGAATGGCATGTGGCTCCGGACCATTTCCCGGTATGGTATGGCGAGTCGGGGACCCCGGACCATGTCGCGGCTGTGGCCGACACCGCCGAAACGCCGGACCAAGACCTGCTATGTCCCGGCGGCTCCGGGACTCCAGACCATGCCATGGCAGGGTCCGGTCTCCCGAAGCCGTCGGAACTTACCATGGCATGGCCCGGCGTCGCGGAGACGCCGGACCAAAGCATGGCATGGTCTGGCCTCCGCCAGACCACAATATGGCATGGTCCAGACCGCAGCGTGGCATGGTCCAGCGCCCCGGAGCCGCCGAACCATGCCACGGTACAGTTCAGCGTCATCGAGGTGGCGGACTATGCCACCGCATGGTCCGTAGTCCCGGAGCCGCCGGACCATGCCATGCTACGGTCCGGCGTCGGGGAGGTGTCGGAGCATACCATGGCACGGTCCGGCGCCCCGGAGCCGGCGGACCGTGCCGTGGTATGGTCTGGCGTTGTCGAGGCGGCGGACCATACCAGTCCGGAGCCGGTGAACCGTAACATGCAATGGTCTGGCGGCGCCGAGGCGCCGGACCATACCACGGCATGGTCCGGAGTCCCGGAGCCGCCGGACCATGGCACGCCACGGACTGGCGTCGTCGAGGCGCCAGAGCATACCATGGCTTGCCACGGACTGGCGTCGTTGAGGCGCCAGAGCATACCATGGCATGGTCTGGAGTCCCGGAGCCGCCGGACCATGCCATGCTATGGTCTGGCGTCGTGGAGGCGCCGGACCATACCAGTCCCGGAACACACCGTGGCATGGCCCGGCGTCCCGACGGCGACGAAACATGCCATTGCATGGTCCGTCGTCCTGACGGCGACGAAAGGAAAACAACGCAGATGTGGAGCGGCGAGAGCTTCGTGATGCCATGGACACAAACGGTCACCCCGCCTTTTTAAACAAAACAAACAACCTGTCGAACAATAGTATGAAAAACAATTACTTTTGAAAATACAAAAGATGTTCCCTCCGAAAGAAAAAAAAAACTTCTGAACTAAAAAAAGGTCTTTGAGGAGGGAGGGAGGGCCTTGCCGTGAATGTGTGCTGTAGGATGGAGATCTAGAAGGAAGGAGGGAGGGCCTTGGGGGGCGTAAAATTGCGGGAGGGATGGAGGGTTATTCAACAAGTCTTGCGTAGTGGAAAGGCGTGCCATGGGACCGAAGCCTTGAGGGGCGCAAAAGCGGTTGTCGAAGAAAGCTCACCTTCTCAAAAAGGTCTTTGAGGAGGGAGGGAGGGCCTTGTTGTGAGTGTGTGCTGTAGGATGGAGGTCTAGAGGGAAGGAGGGAGGGCCTTGGGGGCCTAAAAGTGCGAGAGGGACGGAGGGTTATTCAACAAGTCTTGCGTAGTGGAAAGGCGCGCCATGGGACCGAAGCCTTGAGGGGTGAAAAAACGGTTGTCGAAGAAAGCTCACCTTCTCAAAAGAAACGCAGAGGCTGGGTGGACTGTTGTCAGACGAAGGCTCCTGACCGAGTGCCGAGGTTCGCAGCTAGCCTCTTTCCAGTTGACGAGGCTGCTCGAAGGCACCGTGGCAGAAGAAGACGCTCGACTGCTCGACCGCACCGTGCGAAGGCGCCCTTAGAAGGCGCATAACTGCTCGAAGTCACTGTGCAAAGGCGGCCGGAGAAGGCGCAAAGCTGCTCGAAGGCGCCATCACGCGCAACTCGAAATGGCGCACGCGGATTGCAATGGCGTACGTGCAGTTGGCAGTGGTGCACGCGCAGCTCGCGATGGCGCACGTTTTCGCGCTCCGTCGAGATCGTGTTTCCGCGTGGATGAGAAATGAAGACGTTGGCCGGGGTTTAGGGTGTTTTTTTCTTCCCCGTTTAGCCCCGCGTGGACCCAAAAAAAGTGTGGTCTTGCAGGACACGGTGATTGAAGAAAAAGGCCGAGCCTGCACGTGGACCCAAAAACGGTGGGCGGTGCCGGCCACGTTTTGGGCCTGGTAGTTTTTTTTTTTTCCGTGTCAGCCGAAGCCCGTTTTTCCTGTTTGGTCCTTCGATCCGTCGGTACTGGGCCTGATTTCCTCACAGTTGGCACCAGCCCGCAATTTTCGTTCGTCGTTGTGAGTCCGACGACGACTTAGTTACCACCATCGCCGCGCGCCATTCAATGTCATCGCCCTTCGCCTGAGCTACCGCCATTGCCGTAGGTCATTCTCTGTTTGCGCTTTCCACACGCAGAGGTATGACCCATGACCATCTTCTCCTCCCTCCCTCCCTCCCTCACCCCATTTCACTTTTTGATTGATTATTTGATATTTTTCCCAGTTTTTTTAATCAAACAGAAATAACCGTGTCCAATCAAACAAATCAGTTCGATTGGGTCTTCATTTTAAAACCAAGATACCGATTGAATCGATTCGTTCGATTGGACACTTTTTTTCATTTTTTTTTTCACGTTTTTTTTTTGATTTAGCTAAGACAGCAACAGGGGGTCAGGGGTGTTTGATTGATTGATTGATTGTTTGATTGATAAATAGATTCATAGATTGGTTGATAGGATAGATAGATAGACTGATAGATAGACTGATAGATAGATTGATAGATAGATTGATAGATAGATTGATAAATAGATTGATGTTTTTCGTTCGATTGATTGTTTGATTGAAACAACCATTTCGTCAAAACGGACATATTATATTTTTTGAACGAAATCAAAACTGACTTTTTTTGCCAAAATCCGGTCGGAATTTTTTGCTCCTGGGGGTCCGGCGTTCCGAAAACGTCGGACCCCCTCGATGTATATGGTCTATGGTTGAGACCAGATACATTTTTTTTTTTAATATTTGGTTGGCCTGTGAGACCAGCCCCTTGGCTTGTTCTCACAGGCCTGTGTTCTATTCGGGGGCAGTCCAGTCCAGTCTAGGCCGGTACCTCTGTCGGTCAACCAGTCCAGTCCAGTCCAGTCAGTCCGCTGGGGTATACCCCAGCAGTTGTCTGTTTCGTCATCATTCTTCACTTGCACATTTTTGGAGTACGTGCGTTGGAGTCATGCGTGTGAGCTGCGCTGTGCATCTTGCTCCCCCCTTCTTCCTCCATCTCCATCTGTACCACTAGCGGAGCACCACACCTGGTGGGTCCGTTACATTGGTATTGGAGCAGGCGTTTCTCCCTGCTCCCTTCCCCCACCCACCCCCTCCATCACTTGCCACGTGGCTTGAGCAAAACGCTCGCCGCTTCTACCCCCCGTAATGACACCGGTGCACATTTTCCTTTATAACGTTTTCATCCGGTGTCCGTTTTTTCGGATGTTTAGCTTTTTGGAAAGCTCTCGACGAGACGCTTCCAACGAGCCATAGATTGCGAAATTTAGTGTGGTAGTTTTGGAGCTATGTTAGTTTAAAGATCGCAATTGTTTTAATTTTGTTTTCAGGCTCCAAAATCGCCCGTGCTCGTTTTTCACCGAGCGCTATTACTACAGACCGTGACTGATGCCGCGCCATATCTCGTTGGAAGCGCCTTTCGACAAGCTTTCCAACAAGTCCTCTTTTGCTCATTTCCACCGAGCGGGTGAAAAGTTATGAGCAAAAGAGTCTTTGCCCTTCCCTTGCCCCTCTCCTCCCTTTCCCCGTGGCCATCTCCGAAAGTGCCATGTGGCACTGTGTGAAGACCCCCTATTTCAGGGGCTGCTCTACAGTGGTGAGGATCTGCTCACACAACAGACCCTAGATCTGCAGATCTGCAGATCTGCAGAACTGCTGCTGCTGGGGGCTGATCAAGATCTCAGCCCCCTCTCTCCTCCAGTTGGCTGCTGCAGCGAAGGCCAAGACCCTCCTGGTCTTGGTATACCTTGTGCCCTTGGAGACACCAAGGGCCAGGTATCATCTCTCTCTCCCCTTTTCTTTCCCCCACCTTCCACTGCCTCTTCCCCCTCCTCTTTTTACCTTCCCCACCCTACCTTTTCTCCCACTAACCACTATCTTACCCTCTTTTCTTCATTTCATTTCTTTTCTCTCCTCCTTCTTTCCTCTTACTTTCTTGATCACTCTCCATTCCCCATCGACTTTCTTTCCCATTCTCTCACCCTCCTCTTCCCCAACTACCACCACATCATCCCCCACCTCTCACTTCATCTTTTTCTCTCCCCCACCTATTTTTTTCTCTTCTCCTTCACTTTTTTCATTCCCATTCCCCCCCTACTTCGAATTTTTTATGTTTTTTTTCTTCTTTCTATCTCTCTCTTGATTTATCTTTTCTCTTTTCCAAAAATTCGAAATATCTTCTTTCCCACCTTCTTTTCTCATTTTTTGATTTATTTTATTTATTTTTCTATTTAGTCTGAAAATTCAATTTTCTTTACGGCAACCCTAAATTTGATTAGGTGTTAGTCTTTACTACTTTCGGCACACGTTTTGACCCCGTGGGGGTAACGAAGTGCTGCCAAAATTTTCTGTTTTTTCTTTCACTTAGTCTTCTCGGCACACTTCGACCCCATGGGGGTAACGAAATGGTGCCAATTTTTTTGACAAATTAGATACTTCATTCCTCTCCACCCCCTCATCCACTTCTTACTTCTTTATTTATTTATTTATTTACCTCTTTATCTATTATTTCTTTACTTATTTTCTGATTTTTTTTATTTTTTTTTGCGACATCTTGACACCTAGTGTGCTCACCTTGGTCTCTCCATTCCCCTTGGCACATTCTTGACCCCGTGGGGGGTAGGGAAATGCTGCCGAAAATTTTCAAAAAATAAATATTGTTTTCTCTTCACATCTTTTTACTTATTTCTTTAATTATTTTTATTATTTATTTATTTYCTTGTTTATTTTTATTTTCTCTCGAAATCTCGCTGTTTATTTATTTTTCTCCCGCCTTCCCCCCCTATGCTTGCTCTTTACTTTCTTGATTAGGTCACCGGTACCCTACCCTAACCACTTAAACCTCGGTTAGGGTTTTCTTAGGGTTTTTGTAGGGTTTAGGGTTCTTCAAACCCCCCCTACTTCCCCGTCCTCTTCGGGCACCCTGGACCCGAACCACCCCTCCCCCTTCGACGGCGCTCGTGCTAGCCTTGCTAGCGCCGTGCGCCACTTTCTACCGCGGACTTCCCCCTACGCCCTTCGCTCACGCGGACCTCTTCTGACCCCCTCCAGTCCAGTTCGTCATCTCCCCATGACCGACGGTATGTCACACGCCGCCGACACGACGATGACCACGGCATCGGGCTCCACACCCGTGCCGGCGGACCAGGGCCATCAGCCCCAGGGGCATCTGCACACCCTCCTCACCTCCCTCCTTGCACCCATCCAGGCGCAACTCGCGACCCTTGCGCCCATCCAGGCGCAACTCGCGACCCTCGGGCGCTTACAGGCGCAGGTGGCGGCCCTTGCCGCCGGCGTGCAGCAACTCCAGGATGCTGCGTGTCCTCCATCTCATGGCTCCCAATGCGGGTCCCCCGTCCTCCGACAGGGTGGCCACGGCGGAGCTTCCTCCTCTGCCGCCCTTGACCCGGTCATCTTGGTGACTGTCCACGCTCCTAACACGACGGCCGCCACGAGCCAGGCCCTCCCTCAGTCCACGGGCGCACCCGCCCAGATTCCGGTCACGACGGCCACGGGACCACAACCCGCTGTCATGGTCTCAGCTTTTCCTGGTGCCCCACTTCTCCCCCCTCTTCGCACGACCGCAGCGCCATCTGGCTCTACCCCTTGTGGGATGCCTCGCGCCGCTCGTGCGTCTCCTCCTGCCACACCTCGCTCGACCTACATTCGAGGTCTCGAGGACGCGATCGCCCAGCTCCGGGCCGACCTCGCCCTCTCACGCCTTCACCCACCCCCACCCTCACAGGTGGCCGCGCCTTCCGGCGCACCCCCTTCGTCCTCTATTCTTCCTTCCATGCAGGCTCGCTTCCCTCGCCGTGCACCTTACCCATCTCCATCCTACCTCCTCCTTATCCCCTCGGTTGTTGCGACCTCTTCTACCGCAGCTCCCGCGCAGCCTGCTGCTGTTTCCCCCGCCGCTCCACCATGCAGCCCGGGCGTACAGTCAGCTGCGCCTCCCCCTCCAGGACCTGCGCCGACTTATTCCGCCGTAGCGCAGTCCCCTGCTCCCCGTTCCCCTCGCCGCCAAAACGGTGGCGCACCACTCATCCGCTTGTCGCACATTCCCTTGTACAGGCATACGCGTGTCTAGGTGGCTGCAGTCTGCCACCCACACGCTCCAGCTCATGGGCGCCACACCCGACACGTGGGTGGGTCACCTCTCCACGCGCCTGCGTGGTGCTCCTTTCGACGCCTGGGAGGATTTCTATGCTTACTCCCTGCGTGAGGGTCGGACTCCGACCTTCATGGATTTCCAGGCGTTCCTCGAGGATCTCTTCGAAACCCGATATGACGTGACTGACGCCCTCGAGCGTGTCGTCACTACACGCTGGTCCAGCTCTGGTGGCGCTGCCGGCTTGGATCGCCACATCCAGGTCTTTCAGGACGCCCGCCTCGTTTGTGACGTGGCGTTCCTTCCCAAGACTGCCCTTATCGATCGTTTCTTGGCCAGCCTCCTGCTCGAGTACCGCTCCGAGCTATGGTGGTACGAGTTCACATCGGCCCCGTAGGCTTACGAGGCTGCCAGGAACCATGAGCGGATGCGAGCCCGTCTTCACCCCGCCTCCTCCTCCCAGCCTCAGCGCACGGGTTACGCCTCCTCCTCCTCTCACGGCACTTCCCAGCGTCATTCCCCTTTCCGCGGCCGCCCCCGCCGTTCCAAACAGCAGGGCCGACACTTCTCGCGCTGCTTCAGTGCGCTCGAGTATGGGGCGCAGGACGCTGGTGCCCCAACGTCGCCAGAGGGTGATCATAGCGATGACCTCGACCTCGGCGATGCCGTCCAGCACCACATGGAGGACCCTACTCTCCCTATGGTTGAGCGCCTCCAGCTTATCCTCTCCACCTTTTCCCGGGCACGCAGCCGCCCTGGTCAAGCTGGCGCGTCGCCCCCCGAGGTCCCTTAGCAGGACCTCCCTTAGGGCTTTGTTCCTCCTCGCGGTGTCCTTTCCGCTGAGGAGCGTGCGGCTATTATGGGATGACGTGGGTGTTTGCGATGCCGTCAGGACGGTCATACCTCCTCGCGGTGCCCTTACACCACCGCCCTTGACCGCCACTACGCTGACCTTTCCCGCCAGCGTCGTGCTCAGTCCCCCCCCGGCGCCTCGCATCCCCTCGGCGCCTCCTAGCCACGGTGCAGTGTACACCTGCGCCCTCCTCAGTAGTGGGCTTCCCGACATCTCCGTCGCGGTTCGCCCCTCTCGCTACTGGAGTTGAGGTATCGCAGGACTCGACAGAGTGTACTCAACCCTCTGTCACAGTACCGTCTGCGCCTCCGCAGACCACCGTCTCTCCTCCTTCCCCGCCGCGACTACCGACGCGTCGAGCCATTCGCTCAGCTCGTTGCAGCGAGCAGCTCGCTACTCGCGAGGACGTTGTGTCCTCTCTTCTAGACTTGAGCATGCTCCAGGCTCATCAGGAGCGACTCACCCTCCATGTCGCTGGCCTGCGTCGCCTTCTCACCATCCTCTCTGACCCTGATCGCACCCTCCCGATCATCCCAGTATGATTGGGGACCTCCACGAGGGTGTACTCAGCGCTGTGGGATTCCGGTTCTAAGGGCGACTTCATTCACCCCCGTGTGGTGAAAGAAGCCCGCTTACCTAGGACTGGGTCTCCGTCTCCCATCTCTGTCACCCTAGGGGATGACAAGACCCAGCGCTTCTTCGATCAGACGGTCACCGACCTCCCTTTCTTCCTCACTCTCGAGCAGACTGATCGTTCCCCGGCGTCTCGTCGCCACTGCTCCTCTGCACATATCGATGTGATGGAGACGAGGTACGACTTCATTCTCGGCACTCCGTGGTCTCGTCGGTTCCGCAGCACCGAGGCCGATTGGGCGACCAACACTCTCGTTCTCAAAACGAAGTGTGGACAGACGTATCGCGTACCTTTCATAGGTACCACTGCGACACCACGCCCCGATCCTCCTCCCCCGGAGCCTTCTGTGCCCACACCATCTCCTTCTATCACTGTCACTTCGCCTCGACAATTTGCCCACTTCATCCGACAGGACGACGTCACCTTCTTTATGGTGAACGTGACAGATCTCTTACACTATGATCCACCCTGTCCCGACGCTGAGCTCCTCCCTCTGGAGCCAGATCCTCCTTCTATCTCCATGACTCTCATCTCTACTTTCGTCCCTCCGCCGTCCGTCGAGTCCACCCTGCCGTCGCGCGCTGACGCTGACGCTGAGGAACTTGCACAATATACGGCTGACCTGGAGCTCGCAATTCGTGACCTCATCCGAGAGTACCACGACGTTTTCCCATCGTCGTTCTCGTACGCAGGCATCCCACCGATGCGTGACGTCGAGCACTCCATTTAGCTTGTGCCTGACTATCGTGTTCACCACCAGGCACCCTACAGACTCTCGATCCCCGAGGCCACCGAACTCAAGCGTCAGCTTGAGGAGCTCCTGAGACTTGGTTTCATTAAACCCAGCAACTCCCCGTGGGGTGCACCCGTCCTCTTTGCTCGCAAAGCGGATGGAACTCTCCGTCTCTGCATCGACTATCGCAGTCTCGACCGCTACACGGTTAAGAACAGCTACCCCATGCCTCGTTTCGATGAGCTGTTCGACCGCCTAGCAGGCAACTGCTTCTTTACGAAGATTGATCTTTGTAGCGGTTACCATCAGATCCGCGTCGCTGCAGCCGACCAGCCGAAGACAGCGTTCCGATCGCACTTCGGCCACTACGAGTTTACGGTGATGCCATTCGGCCTCACCAACGCACCCGCCACCTTCAAGAGGGCGATGAACGACATCTTGAGGGACATCCTGGAGCAGTACGTTCTCGTCTACCTCGACGACATCCTAGTCTACAGTCGTACCCTTGAGGAGCACCTCAGACACCTCCGCGACATCCTTGACCGCTTGCGCAGACATGGCTTCTACGCCAAGCTAAGCAAGTGCCGCTTTGCCCAGCACAAAGTGGATTTCTTAGGACACTACGTGTCTCACCAGGGTCTCCACATGGACGACGTGAAGATCACTGCTATTGCGGAGTGGCCCGCCCCCACATCCGCCAAGCAGCTTCGCAGCTTCCTAGGCCTGACCAGCTACTATAGTAACTTCATCCGGGGATACGCTAGGTATTCCTACG